CAAGCTGCCCACTGCTTCCCCTTTCTGTTGACAACTCTAAAAAGACCACAGAAATATTTTATGAGTTGACATAAGGAAGATGGCAGATGCTACAGCAGCATTCCCCAACCTTTCTGGGTTGGTGGGCCTGAGGTGGGAGGGGAGGGGGGAAAGAGGGAGTGGTTTCATGGGAGAGGTAGGTGCATGCGCACGCACCTGCCAACACTTGTGGGGCTGAGAGCACCCACGACACTCACATGAGTGGGGCTGAGAGCACTCACGTGAGTGAGGCTGCAAATGCCAGTGATGCTTGTGCACGTGAGGTAAGTATAAATATTTCAATGTCATTTTAAAAAATAATAATTAATTGGTTCATTTATCATCTGAGAATGGTGGAAAGGGAAGAAAATTAAAACAAAAATTAAAGCTACAATGAGGCTCAATAAAAACATTAATTGCTGAATACATGCACCCATGCTAGAGCTCCCAGTGTTCTGCCCACAATACCTGGGGAAGAGCCAGCTCTTCCCAATTTTGCAGATTCCACAAAATTAGGGAGTGTCCATATTTGGGGGAAGCAATTCACTGAGTAGGTGCCACAGCAGAAAAGGCACACTTCCCTGTTATTATGATCTTCAGCTTCTCAAGAACAGAATACGAGGCAATTTTATACAATACAAATGCATATTCGAATATGTTCTTGGTATTTAACAGGCAATTTGCTAAAAGCATTTATAACACAATGAAGGGGAACTTGCTCTATGGAAGTCTGTTACAAGAAAAATCAGTGGAAACTGGGGCTGACTGGGGAACCATTTTTCTTTGCCTTTCTCTGTTACTGAAGAGAATAATTATGGAGCAGCTATTTCTCGGGACGCTTGTCAGATACTTCCCTTATACAATTGTCTTGTCATGGTAAGACTTATTTTCCCCACACATTTAATTTTTAGCTTCCAGTTCAAGTTTCTTAAAATGGTTTTGATGATCAGAACAAGAGGTTTTTCTTTCTTATGTGTTTTGAGGAATTATTTTTTTTACAAATTATTATTGTACACTTCTCACAGCTTTCTTGACCTCCAGCAGTTTCTGATCCAGAAAATGACCAAGTTATTTTCTTAATATGGAACTGCCCTGATTAAAAAATAGGATTTCTACAAAAATTACTGTAGTGACTGATAAATATCTGAATTTAAAAAAGGGACAAATATCAATTTCCCACCCGTATCCTGTGAATTCAAGCTAATTACAAATAGGAAAATAGCATACAAGAACAGTTCATTCAAATCAGGATAACATCAACCTGAAAACAAGAAGCTAGTCAACCAAGATATATGTATTTGTTTGTTTTTTAATTATTTATTTAATTATTTCATTATTTATCCTTTCATCCAATATGTATAGCCTCCTATTTCACACATATGGAAATAGGACAACTCACAAACAGTTTTAAAACACGAAGAACAATAAGTAAAATATAGCTATAAAACAGCAAAATAAAAATGATACTAAAAATAATATTAAAACACAGAAACATAATCAGTGGCTCTAATTCCATTCATAGCATTCAGTATAACCATTGGCCAGGTTGGATTGAAGTAGATATTAATATCTTCTTATAAATATGACTTCTATCTCAAAATTTCACAAATTAAAGTTTAAATAGCTACAGGTTTCATAATATAACGTGCCTTACTTAATCAGACGAGACCAATTTCTTTTGAATTTTTTCACTTTAATTATTTATGCTACATTTGATCTTTGCCAAAAAAAAGGCCAAGAAATTGTGTGTGTGTGTGTGTGTGTGTGTGTTTGTGTTTTAATGACGCTGTAATTCCTTGCATCAGGGTGGAATCGGGATGACTGAGCAGAGCTCAAGCATTTACTGGCCAGATGCTCTTCCTGATGGCTATGCAAAGTTCACAATAGACAATTACTCACTGTGTCCAGAGAGAGAAATATCTGCCGTGACCTAGGATCGAACTCACAGCCCTTCTGACTCTGAGGTGAGAGCAATATCCCTAGCCCACTGGGCCACTCCAAAGTTTTAGTTTTATATATAATAAGAGTTATTTCATGGATGGATTAATTCAGAAGTGGAAAGCAGAAATGTCCACTTGGATGGATTAGATGGGCGAAATGGCGAAAGCAGTGCCGTGTCAATGGTAAGCAAGTTCCACCCCTTTTATATGGGCTGAGTGACATCACACAAATGTACAAAAGGAGCAAAGCTTGAGTGCAAAGCTACCTTCATCATTTTGATGAAATCACATCATCCGGTAGGTGCCTCTGGTGGGAAATCTTTGATGGGGAAACTTAAGCCTGTCTATCTTTCTTTCTCTCGGCTTTGCTTTTGCCTGCCTCGGAAGATTAACAAGGCTTTAGTTGCAGAAGTTCCTGTTTATCTTCAGTGCGGATTCTATTATGATGTGATAGAAAGGTAGAATAAAGAAAGACTGCAGCTTCCCAGGAAGCTTTTTTCTTCCTTCCCTGAAAATTGCATTTCTACCAGAGATGGCATTCAGCAGGTTCTGACCAGTTCTGGAGAACTGGTAGCGGACATTTTGAGTTGTTTGGAGAACCGGCAAATGCCACCTCTGACTGGCCCTGCCCCCAGTCCCAGCTGATCGGCTGGGTCTTCTTTTGTTGCCCTGCACAGGAGAACAGAGCTAGAAAACAGGTTAGTGGGGTGGGGAGGGAATGGGGATTTTGCAGTAACCTTCTCCCAGGAGTGGGGTGGAAATGGAGATTTTACTGTATCTTTCCCCTGCCACACCCACCAAGCCACACCACTCCCACCAAGCCACTTTTTTACAGTAGTAAATTTGTTTGAATCCAACCACTGATTTCTACCACTGGTCTCTTTTCTCAGTTAACCAAACTATACCGAACTGAAAGATCTCCAGTGCAAAATGAAGCCTCTTGAAATATATCTTAGCTTGCAAAGTGCACCAAACAGTGTTGCAAATGTTGCCTTGTTTGCCTGAGTAAAGTCATAACATAAAATACATGCCTGGTTGTAATTAAAAAGTAAATAATGAAATCAAGATTTATTTTTTCTGGCAGAGCAGAATGTTAAAATAGTGTCCTGGAAAATATGATAGCCGCCATTTGTCAAATTTTCTCCTTTCAGAAGAGGAAAGAAAATGCTTCTTTCTTTTTCTAAACCTGTTATTTATGCTTAAGTCATCCAAATTAAGAAATGCTATGATTTTTTTTAAAAAAGACACTCCTATTTTAAAACAACATGAGGGCAATATTAATATGTAGGATGATGAAACGGCTAATTAATGCAGCAGGCTGATATAACTCTTCCATCCTTCAAGGGCTGGTGAGGTCATGTCAAAGCAGAATTAATGAGCTATCCCAACCTCCCATCCATGCATGAATCTGGACACATCTGGCTCAATTGCCCTCATCGATGATGATATCTTTCTATACACTGACAAGAATTAAATCTTGCAACAATTAAACATGTTTTAGATGTAGAAGGAAAAGGAAACCAGAAAGATGAAGAGAACAGCATAATAATTATCCCAGCAATCATGCAATAATTGCCTCAAATATATACATGAGTAAAAACTAATTTCATATATTACAATACCAACTTTCTAAATATGGACCTAAATGGTCCAGCTTTCCATGTGGATTATGGATTGTCTAGCTCTGCTAATTGACCATTCTCCAATTCTTTATCTTTGTCTAACATCAACTTCTAGGTAAGAAATTACCTCTATTGCAAGTCTACAGCAAGTCCAGAAAGATGGTGTTTAGAATTCATCTATGTTTTTAATTTTTTCACAATATTATATATAACAAATTAGAAATTAGAAACATATATGTGTAGAAAAAGTTAATGCCACTCAGACCATGTTGATGGTGTCTTTATCCACGTGGATTCAATTGATCTCAGGGTTGTGCGCATTGTGTCAAAGATAATATTTTGTCACAAGAACTTTGTTTCCTTCTAGAACTTTGTTTCCTTCCAGCTCAGGGTTGAACTGGAGTTACCTAGTCAGGTAATGAAACATCTGCAGACAACCAAATAAGCTCAAAAGGCACCAAGGATTCTACAATTTGTTTCCTTATTTCATAAGTAAAATATGCTCAATAGGTTGTATTAATCAGTCTGTCTTTATATTTAAAGAAAGGCTGGCATCATTACCAGACAATATGTCATAAAGGAACCAGGAAAATATCTGCATTAAATTTTGGAGCCATCAAAGCCAATGTGAAAAAAAATATCATCATGATCTCAGTAGCTGAGAGTCCTTATTATTAGTTATTGTGCTTAATAATGCTTTTTAAACATCACGAAGTCATTACAGACACAAATATAAACATCTGAGTCATGTGTTTATTTGGTTATGTTTTGAGGATGTTTATTGGTCACCATTATTACCTCTTTGCATATGGGTGTGGGTGTGCTTTTGAGTCAGTTTTTGACTAGTGGCAACCACCTGGAATAGTCAAGGGTTCCGGAAAACGTTTGCCCTTAACTCCATCCTATTGGACTGGCCCAAGGTCAACCAGGTGACTTTATGCCTATGGTAGTACTAGAACTCATGGTCTCTCAATTGGTAGCCTGATACTTTAACCACTACACTAAACTAGTCATCATTTTAATAAAATTGTCACTGAAACATAGAAGCAAGGGTGGGCTGCTGGGGGTTCGCAGGGATTCAGGAGATCCTGTAGCTAAGATTTTGCACAGTTCGGAAAATCCCCAAACCTCACTCCTGGCTGGCCCTGGCCACCCACCCCCAGGAGTCCCCACGTGGCCCGTTTTGGATGCAGGTAAGTGCAGGGCATGCACAGAGGCTTGGAGAGGGTGAAAAACGGGCCTGTTTCTGACTTCCAGAGAGCCTCCAGAGCCCGGAGAGACCATTTTCGCCCTCCTGAAGGCTCGAGGAAAGCCTCCAGAGCCCAGGGAAGGCAAAAACACCCCCTCCCTGCCATGGTGCAGGAGGCTGACTAGGCCACGCCCACCATAGTCACACCCACCCAGCAATCTGGCAGAGAACCCTCTGCTAAAAATTTTGAAGCCCATCCCTGCATAGAAGCCAATCTAACCTGTTTACATTTTTTTTTGTCATTTGCTTCCCTCAGATCTCATTTTGTAATAATCACCATCACCAAACTATCACCCTGGGCTTTTATACATTGCCCTATACTCAATTGGTTGGGAATTATGGTGGGGGGTTTAAATTCAACATAGCATACGCCCAAGTTGAGGAATGCTGGGCTATACTGTAGACTGTGTTGGGGGTACCTGTTTTCATTTTCTAGCCACAGAAATAGCAGCATAAACTATGCACATTTACAAACACTATGATTAACTCTGGTGGCAATTCAACATTACTGCAGAAGACAGTTATGACAATGTTGCTTGTTCTTCCATCAAGTATTTGAAGTCATTTGAATTAGTTTATTCTTCCATGTTACAAAATATAAAACAGAAGCCGAGAGACATTATGCATGTGATCACCCACAAATAAAAAATCTATTTATATTCTGTACAATTATGACATAGTCAAAAGTAGACAATAAATCAGAAGTAGACAGTAGCTCTTCAATAGCACAGTTATTTTGTAATGCTTTACTTTATAAATGCAGGGCGTCTAAAATAATTGTGATGTGGAATAAAGTCATAGTCTAAGATATACTATTATTTTTTGTTTAGGCAAAATGGAGAACTCTAGTTCCTTGAGTCTTTTAAAATTGCATATCAAATTGATTTGTCAGTAGCAAATATTTATAAAGAGTGGTTTGAAGCTTTTTTTTTAGCGGTAACATCTTATAAGTATCTCCGAAGTTGAAAATGTTACTGATTCAAATCAAGAGTTCACTAAAGTGAATTCTCTTTCCCAACCCATTTCATTTCTTACTTTTCCATTTTCTTACTTTTTACTTGTCTCTCCATAGATTTAACTAGTAATATTAAGTTTCAGCCACAAATAATTCATGCATTTAGCTATGTTTTTAATAAGCGGCATAATGAAGTAATCTCCCCTCGGGCCAAATTTCTCTTCCCCTGTGTGTCAGAATTCATCTGATTTTAAATTAAAAGTGACGGTGTGCCCCTTCAGGCTACTGGATCAATGCAGACAAAAGACATAATAATGATTTTGATAAGGAGAATGAAGTATAGGTGATGGCATCACACAAGCTTACAGGCAATTCTAGGTACACAGGATAGCACAACTGAGAGGGTAGATAATAACAGGCCTTTAGATAGGAGAGGTGATTACATCTTTTCACGGGATGATAAGATTTCTGGGTGTAGCAGGAGGAAAACTTTTTTAGGAAATGAATCCAAAGCAGGGCATACTCTGTGCCCTAGGTAGAACCCCTAGGTACCATCTCATACAATTGTTCTGTGGATCATATTTTAATGATTGTCCACTAGAACTCCAGGATCCCTCTCACAGTCACTACTATTGAGCGAGGTACCACATATACTGTACCTGTGCATTTTATTTTTCTTGCCTAAATGTAGAACTTTACTTTTTTCACTGTTGAATTTCATTTTGTTAGATAGCACCCAATATTCAAGTCTGTCAAGATGACTTTGAGCCAGTCACTCTCTCTCAGCCCAAACCACTTCACAGGGTTGCTGTTGTGGGGAAAATAGGAAGTTTTATGTATGTTGAGTTATTTATAAAATGATACGGGTGGAATAAAAAAACTAATAGTAAAAATAAATAACAGACCAGACATAGACTGATCATTCTGATAGGAACTATAATTGTCACTATTCTATTATGAAACATTTCACACAAGACAAAACCATTCATATGGTAAACACTTCCATTTTATATAACCTCTGTAAGCTCTTTTAAGTCAATTCCATTGAAAAATCCAAGCCTAAGTTTGGGCTAAAATTGTTTTGGGCAACAGCCACCACCTCAAAAACATGGAAGTCACTATTAAATAAATGTGAATTGTTCCTGAAAGATACACACACACATTAGCTAATTGAAAAATGCAAGATATACTGAAGTGTTTTTCTGAAAACTGCAACTTAAAAAACAAACAAACGCGGTTCTCTTCGATGCACGGCTGTTTGGCCCACCTGGGCTCCCATACTAACTTTTATGTCCTGCTTTTGAAGCGCAGCTGCTTTGCATGGCACAGCAGATTGCTGCACGGCAGCTGCTGAAGTGATAGGGAGAGTGCAGGCTTGCAGGAGGTGAGTCAGAAAGCCTCTGCGCCTGTGCAAAGTGCACGTTTGGCGCACGCGTGCAAAGTGTGCACGCACACGCAAAGCGCGCCCAAGCCACACCCACCAAACCAGTGGTAAAAATTTGGATGATGTGAGCAGTCTGGAGGTTTGAAAAAAAGTAGAGTTTTGGTGTTACACAGACTGATAGAGATGTACTGTTTTCTTCTCAGCCTCTCCTGTCTACATTAAGGCTTCCCCCAAAGGCTTTTACAAAAGGGGAGAAACTTGCATCCTAATGGGGCAACCTTGTATCTGTCATTTTGATGAATGTTATAAGGATTCCTCTGAATAATAGCACTGACCTCAAGAAGAGCACGCTGGGACGTTGCAAGCCACTATTTCAAAGGAAAACCACAAATGTAACCTAAAGGTAGATTTACTGAATTCTATTTGCTTTTGAGATTTTACTGGTGACAAAAATCCACTTTAAGTTTGAACTGCTTAACTCCCATTGGGCTGATTTAGATATTGCAAAATCAGAGCATAAATAAGTCTGCCCAAGGGAGTTAAGCTCATCCAAGGAACATCCAAAGTTTTGAATAATTTATACAAAAATTATTTTCACCCTAGCATTTGAAGATTTTAGCACAAATTCCCTGAAGCTTCAAGTAAGGGAGAAAGCCACAGTCATAAATGAAAACTCAGATGGCCTATTCCTGACTTTGAAAACTGTTGTGCTTGTATTTAATGTTTGTTTCATAGCTGGATTGAAGATAGCAGTGGATAATTAAAACCTAAACTGTTCCTTAATTATAGACATTGCAAGAGTATCATTCTTTGGTATATAATTACTTCTCATGTACATGACTAATTATTATTATTTAAATCTCCTATGAAAATTTCCCAAATAAGCAAGATTGCCAGGTCTGGCCCAAAGTGTTAAGGTTTTAGCTTGTTTTTGAAAGCCTGGGGGAAGATATTCAATCTCAGGTCATGAACCAAATGTAAAGAGATAAACAGTAGGATTTGTAAACTGAAGTTGAAAAACTTTGGAAGGAAACATCAATAATAATTTTATTGGAAAGAGTTCTTGGAGTCTGTAGTCACCAAATATTTGGAAGTTTCAAATGCATTGTATTTGACATTTACCTTTACAAACATACCCAAAGATACTCCAAAATTCTTAGGTTCTTGGTGAAAGCCCGAATCGTCAGAAATTATTTGTAATGTTAAAATCCTCCATTCTCTATCTCCTCTATAGCCAGAAGTCCAATTTTTGATATATCACATCATGGTAGTTCTGATCTTAGAATCATTCTGTTTTTAATAAGCAGACAGCTTTACAAAACAACTTTATGGCCCATTTACAAGCATTGTAAATTGCTTGTAAATCAGCCTTCTGATTCCATTATAGTCAGTAGATGTTGTCCTCTGCCTGACTTGTGACATCTTTTTTCCCCTTTGTAGAGTGGAGAGATTGTAGAGAAAGGGATTACAAGAAGCTTTTGCTGTTCTGCTCATTGAAAGCAATGCAGTCCTGCCAGGAGTTTGGGTGTATATTGATTAGGAAATGAGTGATATCCTTGTCTTCAGGCAGTGATGTCTACAGGGTCGGTCAAAAAGTCAAGATTTTTAATGTGCATTGCATGCATCTCATGTATGCAAATAAGGGTGGACTTCAACTACATGGTTCCCTGCCCTCTTGAGTTTTTTGATCAAAGCTATGGAGAACATTCAAATATGATTTTTTTTAAAAAAAAAAACATGTTCTCTTTTATTCCTCTCTACAGAAGCAAGGTTTCTGCCATAAGGCATTGCAAGGACTCAGGTAAGTAATGGCAGCTCAAATCCAAGAAATGCTTAACAGATGAACAGATCTGGTAGGACAGGTAGTTGGTGGTCCCACAGATAGCCTGGCCCTACTTAGCCATGAATTACATCATATTGAGATATGCATCAAGGTTTGTTCCTATTTTAGGTGGAATCCTGACCCACTAAAATTAATATGGGTATGTAATACTATAATTAATATTGAAATTAACCATACTGTTGCTTCAATTAATCTACTCTCATCATCATTTTAGCCATTGTCTATCCAGTGCAGGATAAAGGCTTCTTCTGCATGTTTCCAACCAATATGGTCCTGAGCTTTTTTTTGCCAATTGGGCCCACAATACTTGCTGATGTTGTTGATCCATCTTGTTTTAGGTCTCTTTGGTGGATGCTTTTTTTATCAAGGGGATCCATTCTATGATTGCCTTGGTCCACCTGCCATCAGTTCTTTTTGCTATGGGACCAGCCCTTTTCCATTCCAATTATTTTACTCTCTTGATGATATCATATGCTTTCATTTGTTCTCTAATACATGTGCAGGTCTTTCTATCTTGTCATGCCATGCCAAGCATCTAACTTTCCATGGCTCTTTGCGCCACTTAATCTCCTCTAAATATGGTTATATCTGGATTATATCTGCTTTAAATTGGCAATGTCAACAGGTGGCCAACTAGTTGAATCAAATACTGTCATTTCCTGTGGCTATTTATTGTCTTCAAGAGATAATAATATTCAAGAGATGATAATGTTCTTGCCTAGCTGGTGTGTCCTCTTAGCCTTCCCTAACAAGTTGAAATATTAACAAAATAATACAGCCCTTCAAATGCTATCCATAATTCAGCTCAGCAGCCTCAATATGTATTTCTGCAGTTATTGCACTTTGACAGGTAGCAATTGGCAGATTATATAGCACAGTGTTCCCTACCTCTTGTACACGAATTTTTCAGTGCAATCTATGCATGTTATTGTCTTACCATTGTTTCCAGATGAAATCACTGTTCTTTCATTTGACTGATTGCACAAATTCTCCCT